AAAAATAATTTTGTGGGGGTGAAATGGAATTTCTTTTAAACATTTAGCCCCTATTTAATTTTGCTAAAAAATAAAATTTTAATATATTTGGATTAAAGTGAATAAAATATATAATTAAAAGTTAATAAAATTGTGCATCTCATTAAATATGTGATTAAAAATAGGGCTAAACATGACCGTTATGTTATTATTAATTTGTATTTTGAAATTTATACAATGGAGATAAGATATTTCAAGAATTGTCGTCATCTTGAATTTAAGCTCCTGTTTGGCCCCCATTCTCATTCTCATTATTATTTTTTTTTCTCTCTCTCTTATTTTTAACCACACAATCTTCTATAAAATGATATTACACGCGAGTCAAAAAATTTTCATTCTTTTTCAATCACACATTATTAAAAAAACTACTATTTCAATCATTAAAATTTGGCAGGAGTAGAGGCCAAACAGGAGCAAGACTTAACTTATTATAATTTGATATGACATGACAAGACTGGTACCCATGGATATAAATTATCTCCAAATCTTGGAAAGCATTTACAAAAGTGATTCTTTCCTAAAATTTCAACTCTTATCATTTAACCTTATTTTTGCATATTTTAAACATCTATGCATATCTTTAAAGAGAATCACATTCCGAAGAATTTTATCGTTGACTCTAATTAATTTTCTTCTTTTCATAGGAGTTGAAGATTGTATACTATTCGAATTTTTTTAATTTTTTTTTATACGTAACGTAGACTCTTATAATATTGAAGAATACTATAAATAATGGAAATATTTACAATTTGAGTATAAAATTATAATACAAGTTGACGTGGAATTAGAGATGAAGATATTCCATTGGATATCCTCTTATTGGTTTACTTATTTATTTCTCAAGTCACAATCATACATTACAGGATTGTCCATTGGTTGAGTAATTATCATTGTCTTTTCCTCTGTTAATTAATTAATTTATTGCAGCTATCGACAATTAATAAATTAAGCAATTAGTTTGGATTATTTTATTAATTGGAATAAAATAATTACATATAGCTTAGCTTGCGTCATTTGACAAATTTTCGACTCCATCCGACGTTGTGTTTGGCTTGACAAGAAATGTACGTCAAACAAATTTATCGCATTGCGTGCTTGTACATTTATTTTATTTTCTTTTCTTTTGAAATCTACGTCAAATTATCTTGTGAATGTGAATTGTTTCGTTTTGCGTGTAGCTAGTACAATCACGTGTAGCACGCTAGCTAATTATGCTTCACATTCTGATGATTTTCGTTTCAATAAATGTCAAACGAATTTAAATTATAACATTTGAAGGCAAGGAAAATATATGAAACTATGTTCTTTAGCTTCTGAAGATACGCGATAAAATAGTTGGCCGGAAAATTTTGATTTGGTCTCATTGTTACGACAAATGATTTAATGAAGTCATAATCTTATGACATAGAGGTTATTAATCAAAGGCTTGTAAATTT